TCTCTCTCTCGTGTGTGTGTGTGTGTGTGTGTGTGTGTGTGTGTGTGTGTGTGTGTGTATGAAGTTGTGCTAATAATTGAGGAGATAATGCCTAGAAGCGGTAGACTCTCTTGCAGAAATCCACTGCCAGCCATGAGAAATTTCCTTTGAAATTGTTGGTCAGGGAATTCCAAGAGCCTCCCAAAACAATATAAGTTATTGCTGCTGCCCCTAGCTGCCTCTCAGAAGTTGAAGGTAAGTCCATGTTTCAGAAGACACCGTGGACACAGACCCAGAGGATCTGAGCTGGAAGTGACATAGAAACCTCTTCCCTGAGGACTCTCTCTCGTAGTGTGAAAAGGTGCTATACAAGCAGTCAAAGGAGAGAAGCAATCAATAGCTCCTACCCAAATGTGACCCCTATGAACTACAGCCATGACCAGCAGGCAAGACATTCCTAAAAGAGCAACAGTGACACTCATATCTTTGCAGTAACCAACAGCTGTCTAATTGACTATAAGGCCCGTCCCACAGGAGCAGAATCATGCCCAGTAATGGAAACCTAGCTGACTATCCAGGGTGAGTGAGATCCTATCACAGATCCCAGAGAACCATCTACTACTGCCATTTTTACTTAACCAAGGCCATCCATAACTTCATTCTAAATACTTATCCTTACACCCACAGAGAAATAGTTTCCATACCTCATCAACGAAGCTTCCCTTTGCAGCAGATGTAAACCATTACAAAAAGCCACAGCTGCCACAGTGGATCAGAGTGTATAAAAAACTGATGGTGAGGTGCTCAGCCCCAGACGACAAAACCCCTACACCTATGGTTCAGGGAACATTGTGGATGAAAAGTACATTTTGAATGCAAAAACTTCATCACATATTATAGTTTTGCTAGGATGTGGTATCTTGTAAACATGTGGAGCAATTTTCAGTGATAACACAGTTTACACATTATCTGGAGGAGGTGGGAATGGGGGATGGGCTGGGGGGAAGGGGAGGGGGGCAGGAAGGGAGAGAACAAGGGAATCTGTGGCTATTATGTAGAACTGAATAGTATTGTAAAATTAAAAAAAAAAAAGAAATGGGGCATCGAGGAAGCACAAGTCCATGAGTAAGTCTCTTTGTTTCTACTCTTGCTCTTCTTCCTTCTCTTTCTTCTCTTTCTCCCTCTGGCCATTGCTGCCATATTGACAGTTGCTCATGTTGAGGAAGTCAATTCAAACTCCTTAACCTAAAGGGAACAGAGTCATCAGAGGCTCATTGGAATGGATTAAGCCAAATTAGATATGAATCCCACTGCATGCTGGTGTTAAAGTATTTGTCTGAGTACCTGCTACTGCCCAGTGTTGGCTTGAATTAGTAAGGTTACCGAATTTGGGGTTTGCATTGGAATAAAGATCCCATCAATCACAGTTCTTCAGAATTATACAACTGTTTGGCAAGTGTTTCCTAGACTCCTTTCTGACTTTGGTTTTTAGCCATTATGATATGAGCAGGCAAGATGGCTGCTGTAAGTTAACATCTGCATTCCACTTGAGTTTCTGAGATGGCAGTTGCATGTAAGAGGATTATGACATGATTGCAATGTCCATCAATAACCACTATCTGGTTCAACTCCTCCAAGGCTGAGCTGAATGCCCTTCACCAATAGTATCACAGCACCTTCCAATTAGTCTAAACTTTTGGTTCTCATTATTCTTACCCTTTTATTCTTTCTTTGAGATTCAACCTAACCCAGGGTAGAACACCAAGGTGGGAGCTCACTACATATAGTTGTTGTGGGTTGATCAGTGGATGAATGACCAAACACTCACATTGAAAAATGGGGGATACATGGCTTCTGCATTTCAATGGAAATACTGATGAGATAGTAAATGCTAAAGGTATAGTTTCTTCATGAACATAAACTGTGACTGTTAACTCTTCCTATTACTCTACTAATTGTTAAATACAAGAAAACAAGACTGAAAATTCTGTAATATATATATACTAATAGGTGTATTACTGGAACACTGAAAGTGAGCTGACAGTTTTCCTTTGGATATCTGCACTCAGCACTCCTTTTTTTCTTCCTGTCTCTCAAATGATCGCATTCTTCAGTTGCTGGAACATTAGGTTAATGACACAAGTTGAACCAAACAAAGATATCGTCAAGTTGCTAAGCTCCTGTCTAGTTTTGATTGGGAGGGTCATAAAAATAAACCATTCCCTCAGTTTGGTCTTGACAACTCACCGAAAAACACCTTGTATATGTCAAATGACACTTACCTTGAAAAGCTTCAGATACCTTCAAGATTGGACACCACTGATTCTCACATCATTTCCACCTAGGAGAGGAACAGAGCATCCACTCTGGAGTTGTTAAATACTTGCTGTACTTTGAACATGTTGCAAAGAGGATATGACTTAAAAGACAATGTTAGTACCAAAGCACAGATGCAATAAAGAGGCTGCAGGATGTGCATGAAGTAAGAAAATTTGACCTTCAGAGATTGTGAAGACAATATTGAAGAAATTGACCAAGATTGAGGCCTGGGAAAATGCCATGACAACACCTTGAGATCTCCTTGAGTCAGGATATTACTTGACATTCTTTGTTTACCACCTTGTAACTTATGTTTCTTTTTAATATATTCTTTTTTTCCTCTTTTCCACCCAGCCTAATCCTACAATTTCATTTTTACTCCTAGTTCCTTCTTTCTGGGGATTGGTGAACTCAGCTTGGAATCTTTGCTCTGTGGGAAAACGGCAGTCACCAGTCAACATAGAGACCAGTCACATGATCTTCGATCCCTTTCTGACACCTCTGCGCATCAACACTGGAGGCAGAAAGGTAAGCCACTATGTTGCTTTCATGATGATGGGTGATGCTCATTGTTAAAGCTAGTCTTCTGAATCTTGGTCTCTGTGATGAGTGACACCTAGCAATAATCACAGACCTCAAGAGCATTCCTAACAACTATATAACTGTGTCCAAATAGTGCTTTCCCTCCTTCATAAAATCCATGTGTCTCACAACTGCAGGACCCCAGGAAGTTGCTTAAAGTCCTGACCCTTGGTACCCCATGAAGGTCAGCACACAGTTGACTCCCCTGCCTACCATGTTGGAAAATCCTTCCTCTGAGACTTCTTCTCTTGATCTTCATTTAACTGCACTGAAGTAGAAGGAATTTATTTTAACAAGAGTAAAATCAGACGTTTCTCATCCTGGGAGGGAAAACAAACAGCAATCACCTGAGATGATTTATAAGAAAATCAATAATTAATCTTCCTAGGGGCATCTTGCTGGCTAAGAATCCTCCCTTCTGCCCGGAAATGCTGAGCTGAGCTTTGTGATTCTTACACTAGACTCAGTCTTGCCCTCTCCTCCTGCCAGGAGCACATCCTTAATTTGTGAAGGGCATAATGCCTTTGGGGGCTGCTCACTGCTTGAATCCAGTATTTCTCTTGCTGACTTCTTTCTATTTCACTGCCTTTTACTGTTGGCTAGGATGTTAGAATTGGAAGGAAATGCACATGCATAGAGGATTGTGTTTGAAGGTGATTTTGTTGTTGTGAATTCAAGAGAAATGAAAAGCCACTTGTGTGCAAAAAAGCTAGGGCTGAAATTACAGATATTTGTTATTCCTGGCAGATCCTTCTCCAGAGCTGGACTGTCCACTCTTCTCCCTCTGCAGTCTGTTACTCATTCTCTCTCTCTCTCTCTCTCTCTCTCTCTCTCTCTCTCTCTCTCTCTCTCTCTCTCATGATGACTCACCAAAAACTTATTAGCAGCTTTAACTCAGGTCACAAGCCAGGTTTTAAGAAGCGTTGAAGGGGGACTGGAGTGATACCTTTAGTTGGGGAAGTGCTTACAGTACCTACAACTCCAATGCATGGGAGGTGAGGCCAGGCAAATCACAGGCTGGTTAACCAGCCGGTTTAACCAAAATGGCCAGCTACAGGTTCAGTGAGAGACCTTGTCTCAAAAAATAGAGTGCAATGTGAAAGTTCTGACCTCCACATTCACATAGTCAGGTAAGCACATTTGTACAAATAGATGCACACATGTATGTGTGCGCACGCGCACACACACACACACGTCACACATATACACATAAATATGCATAATGTTTCCAAGTAGAAAAAAAATAAAGTCATTGCATGTGAGATTGAGACTATTTAGCTGTGCAGTATTTGGCTGCTCTTTTTAAAATTATTTGGAAATCATGGGGTTTTTTTGTAGAAAGTTCATATATCTTATAGAAAAGCAAAACCATTCTAATTATTCCACTGGCAATTTCATTTTTATGAATTCTAAAATAAACTTGATATAGCTCACATATACACATAACTTGCTGTACATAAACTACTCATCTAAAGTCAAAAACATGTCACTTTCCTGGTCAGCATTTATAAGTGAAAGTTTCAGTTTAAGTAAACATTGAATTATCTTTTCTTTGTTGGAGAGGATGACAGGGGGCATACTTGCATCCCAGGCAAACAGTAACATAAACAAAAACACATAAGACTGAATGAGGTTTGATGCCTGGGTTTCATAATAAACCACCTGGAAGGAAGCCAGCAAAGCTGGAGCCCAAACGAAAGCCAGGTGCTTGTGGGCGGGGCAGAAGATGGTGATGGGAGCAGACACCAACTCCTAAGGCTGCTGAAGGAAGTGGACATTTTCCTAAGTGTTGTGGAATGCTCAGGGTTTTCATCGTATAGCTCTTTCTCCTCCTGGGTTACGTTCATTCAGATATTTGATCAGTTTATTTATAGCAAGTAAGACTGTTTTCCTGATTTCTTTCTCAGCATGTTCATTATTGGCCTACAAAAAAGCTTCTGATTTTTGTGTCCTGACTTTGCTGAAAGTGTTCATTAGACCTAAGAATTTTCTGGTGGAGCCTTTTAAGGAGAAGACCATATCATATGCAAATAACGATACTTTGACTTTTTATGTCCTGTGTATTTCCGTCTCTTGCCTTGTTGCTCTACCAGAGACTCCAACCACAAAATTGAAGTAGACACCTTTGGCTCATCCTTGATATGAAGCAAAATGTGCAGAGTCTAATGTTGGCTATGCCTTTGTTGTACAATAATGTATAGGAAGGGAATATGGGGGGGGGTATCGGGGAAGAAAAGAAAAACACTGTGTATTTTCTCTCCTGTTATTATTGTCTATAGAATCTAGAAGTTGTACACGTGTATGGGGAGATATTTGGGAAAGGAAGGGGTCAGTGGGGTGGATGAGAGGAGTAAAGAGAGGTTAATAAAAAGATAAGCATGATCAAGTAACAATGATTTGCATACATGAACATGTCATAATGAAACCCATTGTTTTGTATGCTAATTAAAATACTATTTTTAAAGGTAGGACATGTTGCAGAACATACTCAAGGGGTCTTTAGGTAAAGTATGCATTGGGAGCAGAATGGGAAAAATGGCAAACTGATACAGAATCAACTCATATTCCATCTTTTGTTGAGTCATCTTAGAAGAAAGTGTTGATATAAAGAAAAAAAAGGCCATTTCCTTCAAATGTATTGGGAAAGAAGAAATCTGTTTCTCGTATACTAGAATATTACTGTGGATTTGGGCCTTTTGTTTGTTTGTTTGTTTGTTTTTTCAGGAAGCAGTTTTTTCTTTTTTTTTTTTCATTCAGTACATTGTACCTGTTCCAAATCAATTTGCAAAGGCATCAGAGTTTGTGATTTTGGAAACATTTGCTGTGACAATGAAAATATTTATATCTGGCATGATTTGTGTTGTCAGGGGTTTGACGAGCTAAGAACTGGCTGGTGGTGCCCTTTACATTTATATAAGGCAGAAAATAAAATATGGACAGTGGCAGGAGATGAAATGCCTGAACTTGACAGACAATAGCTAAATCATGTTTCAAGCTTTAGAAAGGTGGTGTTTAATGACTTGTTTTGGAAGGAAGGATTCAGAACACTGCTCTGATTTTAGATTTCTGCCTTAAAGAAATGTTCAGCTCAAAGGGCTTGAAAATCACCCTGTTAGATGGGATGTTTTGTAGAATTGGGGGAAGGTGCCACATTTTCAAACCTGAGATCAGTTAGATGTCAGTAGGTTAAATACACCCCAGTAAGTGTGTTTCATGTCACATTTTTATCTGTGAACATTATTCCCTCGGGCATTTAAATGTGTCTTTTTGCACAAAACCATGAAGCAGCTCTGCCAAGGCCCTGACTTGTCTTTTTGTGTTTGTTTTAACATATCTGACCTGTCACAGAGCTTGGATGATGGGATAAGGGATTTTATTAGTATAGGCAAGAGCTGAAACCATCTCCAAGATAAGAACAACCAGGAATAATAATGATCAGATGAGAATCAAAATGTTCTGTAACTTGAATATAATAGAGAAATTTTACTTATGTGTGTTAATACATGTGTGTACATGTTCATGTATATGCATACACGTGTGTGTACAGGTCTGCAGTGTACATATGCTTGTTCAGGCCAGAGGACAATCTTCGGTGCTATTTTATAAGACAGACTCCCTCACTGGTCTGGAGCTGGCCAAGTAGGCTGGCCGGCCAACAGGCCTCATAGATCCACCTGTGTCTGTCTATCTCCCTAGTACTGGATTACAAGCATGCATCAGTCCACTTGGTTTTTTTTTTTGTTTGTTTGTTTGTTTGTTTGTTTGTTTGTTTTTTGTGTAGTCTGGAGACAGAATTTAGGTTCCTTTTGTTTATTCAGTAAGCATTCGACTTCCTGAGCTACCACTCCAGTTACTGAGAATACTTTCTATTAAGTAGAAATTTCCTTTACCTTTTGAGTTGCTTATTCTGTGGTACTTTTTAAGCAATGGTTTTCTTTTCTTAGAAGGTAGTACTTTTCAACCTGCCTCTTTATTTCTGATATGTAAGTTTGTTTTTGTTTTTTTAAGATGAAAGCAAAGTAATTCCTGATTGTCTATGGGTATAAGAAATATCAGGTTCCAGCAGCTAGTTCAAAACCCAGGGTCACACAAATGGCTCTGGTTAAACTCAGGGGATCACAAGCCAGATATAAAGACATGAGTATGAGACGGGGCCTGTAAGGAGGGAGGGACACTGATGAGAGTGACAGTGACCAGAATACATAATGAGCATGTGTATGAAATTGTCCAAGAAGAAAATTAATAAATTATTTTAACAAGGTCCCCTTAAACTAGTTTTGAACTAATAAATCCATTCTATATAAAGTTACCAATCAACTCCTGATTTTCAAAAGAGGCTGACGGATTTTTCAAGTCATCAAATCCACTTTGTATAAATACAGCATTTAATTTTGCATCATTGTAACCACTGTACTTACACGATTTAAAGGAGGAAAGATTCATTTTGGCTCAAGGTTGTGGAGAGTTTTCAGCCCACCTTGTGAGAGTCTTCTGCTTGCTTCTGATCTTCTGTGAGACTCTCAGCTTTTATTGCTTACTCTGGCAGGAAGGGGTCTAGTGAATCTGGTCAGTTTCAGGTACTTCCTGAAGCTCTTTTGAATTGTTTACCTACCTGCTTAAGGAGCATTCCACTGGGATGGAATGTTTCAATCTCCAAGGAAACTGTTACACAACAATAGCACACACACACACACACACACACACACACACACACCACACACACACACACACACACACACACACACACACACACACCAAGCGAACAACAAACACTTAAGTAAGATATTTGCAGCAGCTGCAACTCAGCAGCATGTCTCCTTTCTAAAGACATTTCCTGTGTATCTCTTGTACCAAGTGAGGGGATGAGGCTATAGTACTTATATTTTCCTCTGAGTGTATGTGACTGGAATCAGCGCTTTGGCAACAATTTACCCTTCACTTGACATGACTCGGGACTTCATATCCTGCCTTTTTAATATCCACTCCCTGCGACTTCAGTGCCACCTCCCCCATGAAACTCCCTTGATCTTTGACAATGATGAAATCCTTCTTCATTTGGCTTAAGTTCTTCACTGATGTTTCCTTTAGGGTGTGCTTTATCATCTAGAGTACATCCGTCCCTGGATTAGGAGCTTCTTGGGATAAATAGGCTTTCATATTTTCATTTTAGATCCCTGAGACTGATCGCTGTATTATTGTTGATTACCATTGAAAAGGTTGATGTGGAATTATTCAAGTGTTGTTCTGATTCAAAGTGGAAAAAAATGTGGGCAGCATCCATGATGAATGGGAACAATGTCATCAGCAGAATCTGTCACTAAAACTAAACTTCATGTATTGTCATTGTTAGGAGGTGCTGAGTAAGTTGAAAACATGTGGAATGTGAATTGCATTTCTAGGTGAAATCTTCATCACTCCCCAATTTTTAAATTTCCCCATGAAGTTCATAGCCCAATTGAGCTGACCATAAATAATTATTGCTATCAATGGTGTACATCACTGTATCCTGAAACCTTTATTGTGTAAGGCATTTCCAGTCCTCCAAGAATTGTTTATGTATATTTGGAGAGAAAATATAGATACACAGGAGCTATGTGGGAGTAATTTATTTTTAAAACTATTTGAGATAATAGTGAAACAGATACTAAAGGAACTATGAAATTATTATTATATATAAATTATATGTATATGGTTTTATGTATATTTATGATGTAGAATAGCTCTTTAGCACCAGCCCTGTTGAATAAGTACATTCACTTCTTACTCATTTGTATTTTGTGGTTTTGACATACTGATAATGTCTTTTCTCTGAAGAAAGCAATAAGATGTCTACTTACTGAAATCTAACTTTAAGCAACAAGAAAAAGGTGAGTGATATGAAGTAGACGGTGTGGGAATATGATCCTAGAAGGTATGGTAGTCCGTGTATCAGAAAATGCTATGCTTTCAGTCAGATGTGGATATGAAAACTTCAAAGGGCAGAATTTTAACCATCATACTTAAAATGGAGACATGCTCTCATTGCTTCGTGGAAGATGACACTAGGGGATTGGGCAGCACTTAAAAAGAAATTATAGTAATGCAGTTGCAAACGGTGGTAGCACATAAAGGAACTGCTGGGAGTGGAAGATGTGAAATAGACTGCATGGGGAGTTTTGACAGAAATAACGCTTCTGAATGACACGTAAGAGATGGGAGAGGGGGACTTAGAGTCAAGGAGGAGAATGAAGGGAGAAATGATTCATAAAATCAACCTTGTAGTGAATAATGTCTAGAACGAATGGAGGCTTCTAGAAAATGAGGAAGACTTCTAAAGCTGCAGTTAGAGGAATTAGAAGCAGTGACACCTCATAGGTCCCCATCGAGGGTGGGGTAGGGGGAGAATAGATGTCCATAGAAAAATTATAAGACCTGGGTTTGAATTTCATATTGCCGCCTATTGGCCACATATGAGAACTCTTCCTTCTCTTGGCTTCACATATCATACCAACACCCACCCTTTACAAGAAAAAATACATTACACAGGCTAGAATGTAAGCTATCAGATGTAAGTAACTGAAAGCACCCTATACAACTGTTATATGGTAACAGAGGTGCTATCATTGGTGTTAGTGAAAAACACAACTTAGCTCACATCTGAATTTCTGTCAAAGACACTAATGCTCATGTTAGAATTGGTAACAGATGTGCCAAGCTCTTAGGATAACAAATGAAGAATTCAGAGACACCTCACTAGTGTCTCCCAACCCTAGGCGATGAAACTCCATGAGCATGAAGGGTGAAGTTTCCCCCTCGTTATATATTTCTAACAACAGGAAGAAGAGCTGTGTGAAAATTCAATGGCCTTCTGTTACACTGAGACCACAGAAAATAAGAGTTCTGACAAGCACAAAGGGCCACTTGAGATTGTAGAATACATTGGATTCAGATGAGTACTTTGAGTTCATCCTTCCCACCTGGAATTCTGTTGGCTCTATAGTGGTTAGACAGGGAACATGAAATAAAGGCTAACCCCAGAATAAGGATATAATGAGGATTTTACCCCTTCCTTAAGGAAAATTCTTAGCACTAGTTTGGGTTTGGAGGAAATTTGCATTGCTTTCTTTCAATTTCTATAAAATTACTTCTCAGAGTTTTCAATGCAGAACCTTCTCCTTGAGCATAATTTCCTTTGGGTTGGCTAGAATGGACAATTCAGGGCAAAAGGCATGTTGCCCAAGAAAAGATTTAGATTAAAGATAAATAAATGAGGCCAAGGAAATTGTGTTTGTTTTTGGAGCAGTGCTTTCAGAATTGAAATTTCCGTGTAACAATGCAGTAATGGAAGATGTGCTGAACAGGGAAACCTCAGCTGCTGCATTTTGAGCCAAAATATAGACTCTGTTCAGAGTTGCTCTGTGATGGGTACCATTGCCATCCCTAGTTCTGGGCTGATGATTGCTGCTCACTGTCTTGGCAGCTCTTTGTGGTGTTTACCTCTTAATATCATCCAGGAAATCAATGCAGTCATTAGACAAGTCTCCCAAGGAAACACCTGGCTGTTGGCTTCATGGTTTATAAATGTATCTAATTCTCATCCTATCCCTCTGGTGAGCAATCAGTCTTTCTTGCTTCTCCTCTCTGTTTCTTCTTCCTTTATTCCCTCTATACATCTCATATTTCCCCCTGTTATTATTCTATTTCTCATACTTGTTCACATCCATTTTTCTGATCTCTGATATCCTCTTGCTCTCTCTTTATCTTTCTCCCACTCTCTTAATCTTCTTCCTCCTCTTCTGTTCATAAATACACATGACCAAGGAAAAAATACCTTCTCCTTTGTGTAGCATAAAGGAATGAGTTCTTTTATTTCACAGAACATTGTAACTAAACATATAAAGATCAATAATTACATTATTTGGGAGACAATATTGAGTGGGGGAAATTCAAGTTATCCAGAAACTAAGCATAATTTCTTTAAGGTGATATGGGAAATATTATGTCACAATATTTACTCTGTAGGCAGAGGAATTTTTGGAATGAATAGAATGTATATCATGATTTGCATAACCATCACAACACACCACTTTAGGTTTCTGCATATACGATCCCACAAGTGAAACTTTGTAAATTAAATAACCTTTAAAAACAGGCAACAAGTGGTGATGCACGCCTTTAATTCCAGCACTCGGGAGGCAGAGGCAGGTGGATCTCTGTGAGTTCGAGGCCAGCCTGGGCTACCAAGTGAGTTCCAGGAGAGGTGCAAAAGCTACACAGAGAAACCCTCTCGAAAAAACCAAAAAAAAAAAAAAAAGGCAACAAATCAGGTTGGAAAGATGCTTCAGTGGTTAATAGTACAAGATGCTCTTATAGGGGGACCAGGTTCTATTCCCTGAACATAGCTGCTCATAACTTTATGTAACTCGCATTCCAGGGGTTCCAAAGCCTTCTGGCCTCCTCAGGGACCAGGCATACACATGATTCACAGACATACATTCGATTTATGCACCCATTAATAACAAAAATAAATCTTTAAAAAGAAATAGGCAACAAATTGTGTTATTCAGCCACTCTACTTGCACCTCAGTCTCTTATCATTCTTCTACATTAGCCAAGGGAAAAAGAGGAGAGAAGTGTGTCCATAACCCATTTTAACAAACCCCTTGTCTTATTTTTTGAGGTTATAATTACATCATTTCCCCTTTCTCTTTCCCTTTCCCTTCCCTTCCCCAAACCCTCCCATTTGCCCCTAGTTGCTCTCTTTCAAATCCATGGCCTCATTTTTCATTACTTACTGTTACATAGATATGTGTCATATATAACATATATTCACGTGTATAAACATATATTTATAAATACATAACTACAACCTTCTCAGTCTGTGTAATGTTACTTGTATGTGTGTTTTCAGGGTTGACCATTTGGCATTGAATGTGAGTGTGAGTCCCTAACCCTGCATACAGCACATATTAGTCTTTCTTCCAGTTATCATCACTCAGAAGCCAAGGACAAGTTCTATAACAATCAACACAGAAAAAATTATCTAGAACCAGCTATGGGGTTACATCTCTACAGGTATCTCCCAGAATTTTGGAGGCAGAGGCAGGAGACACTACTTTAAGGCCAACCTGGGATACACAGTGAGTTCTAAACCAACATGAACTCATTGTAGCAAGAACCTGTTTCAAAGAGAGGGAGAGGGAGGGAGGGATGAAGGGAGGGAAAGAAAAAAATTAGTGGATTATCTGAACAATAGCAGAGATAATCACTACTCAAGAGAGGGGTTTGATTTGATTTTGTTTAGCTTTTGATATTTAAAAAAAACTGATATCTGTTCTGCATTTATTCCCAGAAATTTTTGAAACATGCCAGTCTCTTCCTAGAAAGCCTGACTGTTTGGATGGATAAACCAGAAAAACTGCCCCACATGAGCTGGGAACCAAATATTTAGTGTCTGAAAAATAGACATCATCCTCATAAACAAAGTTCTCCCTCCCTCTGGAGCAAAGCAGAGAGATAATGATTTTGAAGGGCTCAGGAAAACGTTCATTTTCTTCTAAATTCTGTTTCAAAAACAAAAAAGCTAGCTTAACACTGAAAAATCCAAGATTGAAAAACACTATTTTGAGTCTAGATAGTATAAATAA